GTTCCCCAAAATGTCATTTCTCACTTCTTTTTTCACTGGATTCCATTATAACGAGTTTATTTTTCGCATTGAACAAGTTTTTTATTGTAACGAGTTTTATTCTAGTTGTTGCTGGAAATTCAAATATCAGACATCTTCGTTCCATAAACATTGTTACAAATGTTGTTGTAAACCTATGATTAGTTTGAGTTTTACTACGTGTCAGGTTATGACATGTGTGGATTTACCAGCAGACGACAATTTTACATCCAACAGTGTCAGCCTGTTAGTGTCTGTTATAGTTATTGCGCCCTCATTGGCGGATTAACTATAACGTAGTTCGCACTTTTATTAGCCGATTTTTACATAAAGTAGTAAGCCTGAGTCCATGCTCAAAACAAAATATATAGCAATAGGTAAGGCATTGTGACTAACCACAGTCCATCTAATGGTGGACTGTAGACTAACGGTAAAAATAATGACATTTATACACAAAAATGTGCTGGATTTATAAAAATATGCGCAGTACAGACAGAGACAGCTTATGCAGATAATTAATTAATAATAACCCGATGTTACATAGCTTTAATCAAACCCGTACACCATTTGCTAGTACTTTAGTCAGAGAATTACCGTAATTAAAAACAATTAAAAACGGCTTTTCGAATGTTAATGTTGCAGTATTATGAACAGTATATCCGATAACACGTAACTAGTGTTTTCTACGTGTTTTCTGTACTAGGTGAGTTGATTCAAATCATACTTATTCATGTTCCGAATGAGAGGAACAGTCAAATGGAATGTCACGATATGTATTCTGTGTGGGACTATGGCAGTTACCGTGTACCTGTCACCAGTCGGTCTCACTAATATGGAAGACATTCATGCGATGGTGCAACTCAGTGAACTGCACCGGATAATGAGACGCCCCTTTTATTCAGTGGTGTGCCAGCGAATGGAGCGAGTTTTCATGGTGACACCAGAACCATCGACCACCAATACGATAATGTGAATACAGTTCCGTTGAAAAAAGTTGATCACTGTCACCGGCGGCTGCTATCCTACATACACTCACCCGATGTTCGATGACTTGAAAAAGAAAAATGGAACTCTACTTGGAATATGCAGGAACATTTTAAGAAAACATAAGTCCGTGATTATTCAGTGTCTAACTGCTGGGTTTCTGGAAATGACAAAAAATTGGATTTGCAATGTAGAGTGTCTTGGAATTCTATCAAATGTGTTGTTCATCACGACAGACTTGGAAGTTTATAAAGAGCTTCTTCATTTCAATTCAAAAATAAATATTATCCATATTGAATATACGACGCTGAAATCCATTCATTTTGGGCAAGCTGGTTATTGGAAATACATGGTCTTCCGCGTTGGCATCATTAGATTTTTGCTGCGGAATGAAATTAATGTGTTCATCACGGAGTCTGATGCTGTGTGGTTGCAAAACCCAATGCCATTAATTGAAAACGACGGTAAGTTTGACATCATAGCACAGGTAGACAACGCCAAGCGGAATTTTATCTGTGGTGGATTTCTTTACCTTAACTGTACCGGAGTCACAAGGCAAGTCTGGGGTCAAGTATTTCAGGGCATGGAAAACGCTGTAATGGATTGGGATGACAGCGAGATTAAGGATAACCAAGCCATGTACAACGACCAACGCAAACTGAACAAGGCTATCAAACGCTTGCCCGTCAGGGTGAGAAGATTACCCATAAAACGATTCAGTAATTACGACAACTGGGACCCCGATAAACCCTCGCAACCATTTGTTATTCAGAACAACTGGATTATTGGTAATGAGAACAAAATTGCCCGAGCTAAGCGATTTGATCATTGGTTTTTAACTGATGTAAATTCATGTAATGTGACTAAAATATACAATATTGTAAATTGTCAATCACGGATGACGTCATAAGCTGCTTCTGTTTCAAGTGACTCGGGATTATGGTAATATTGAACAAATGTAATCGGTTTGTACCTTGGGAGTGAATGGCCGCCGAGATCTCGTTGCGAGCGAAAGAGCCACGAAACTTCAAGTTATTTTTTGCTCCTCGTCCCATTCTCTGTCTTCAACGCGCCTGCTGTTACATTGTTCTATGTTACCATGGTATTTAGTACTGTGAACTTTTTTAATGGTAGGATTTTCCTTGATACAAGGACTAAACTCATTGAATATGTCACGGTGGATCCAATTTCCATAAAAAAACAGGATTTGTTTTGAATAATCCGGCATTGCCAGATAACTCGAAAAGTTTTGTGAGACGGGTTGTCCTGGAGACGAGAGCCAGTCAATTGTTGGGAGCATTTTTATTGCCAATAATTCAAAAACGTATAAACACATTTTTATGATTTTTTGGGAGGAATTGCCCTCGTGACCAAGGACCAATCAAATAGTTTGTGAGACACCTGGATTTATCTTCCGCGGGGACAGGGATTGTTGGCTTTTACAGTAGTGCAGGCAGCGGCAAAGAGAGTCTAATTTGTATTGCATATCTGCAGTCAACATTGGAATTGTCGTCATGGTAACACAGTAACCGCGAACTTATATATATTGTTGGACGATGCATCAACGTATAGCAATGTCCCTGGATCTACTCGATATATTAATAAAAGAAGTTTAAATATATCGCTTCTTAGTTTGTACCATAGTCCGGTTTGTTTTTGTAATGATTTAAGTATTTATGTATTAGCAAACCGTGAGTTGAAATTGGCAACTGTGGCGGTGCATTACACTATATAACTGGAGAGGAATGACGAAAGATATTGATATCGTAAAATGATATGTTATGTCAGTTTATTTTGCTGCGTATATTTGAATGCTCATTGAAATGGGTAGTCAATGCTAAGGATCGCTAAAATTCTAACTAAAGACACGTTTCTTCTAGCAACCTTAATATATTGCAACCAATTCAATTTTGACGCGGTAATAACCGTGGTTTTGACCTCTATTATCACTCAGAATTCCGTGAAGGTGTTGTTTTCACATATGAGTTAGCATGTGAGGAAAAGGCCTACTTGTAATCATCGTGATGTAGGGGCGGTGTTTGGCCATGAACTCCTAGCTTTGAAAATAACACAATATTCACCGATCTAGTGAATGCGTGGTGATTAATAGCAGTAACATAGTAACATGACAACATAAATATTCTGCGGTATATTAATATAATAAGAAACGAATTTTGTAGTGATGTTTAATTTGTATGCGGCGGCCAGGGGGCGCAAACTATGTGGATGCGTGCACGCCTACACCTATGTTTATTATGTAGTCACATTCTATCTGCGTCAGGCAATACACTGCAGACAACGGCATTCAAATCGTGTTTGATTGTCTAGTCTTTCAATATCTCATTGAGTATAGTAAAATATCTCAAAAAACATAATCCTCATTCGGCTAGAGATTCGAGCGGCCTTCTTCTTTACATCACAGGAACGCTTCGTCACTAGATATTATGGGAGTGTATAAATTTCACAGAAGATGGGTAGGGGTGGTTTCTATTTTGGTATTTAGCTGTTTTTAAAATACGTTGGATCCCAGTTTGGAATAGCCTGTAGTAGGCGTGAGTGGCGCCCTCGCCGGCCAAACGGCATTAGATCCCGGAGCACCGCGGAGAGCGCAACTCACGCGACCTTGTCAGGGTAAGGTTGCGAGCAGAATTTACAGCAGAGAGAGGGTGAGAAAATGGGGGGTGGCTCGGGGGGGGGCTTTGAAATTTTATGGCAGCTGTCAGGGGGTCATGAAATTTTAAAACACAACAACGTATAACAATATTTGTCATATTTGCTTCACCTTTTTACTTAAAACAAAACAAAACATACTTGTAAATGTACTAGTATAATAAATAAAACATACAACAACAGTATCAACAGTATAAGTATACATGTAGTTTGACCAAAAAACGGTGTGATTTGATTGTAAATATTTATGGTGAAAAAGAATATATTTTATATGTATATGACACCTTTGTTTGTGAATATGTATTAAAGGTAGCAACAGAGAAAATGTGGGCATATAAAATAATGACTAATACTAGTAGTTTTTTTAAATCAAAGAAACTATCACCCTGATTTAACACACTTTATACTTTGTTATAACAATGTTTTTCTTGTCCCCAAAGTACAACGTACTTTAATCAAGCCACACAATTTCCCCTAATGCAACACCCACTCCATTCAACTCTCATTGTATTACAGGAGACGATGTTTGTAACAATATCTTTCAGACTCGTCAGTCTCAGAATCTGACTTGCAATCTGGTTGTCATCATTATTAGGGTCCCCAAATGCATTGATGTTTCGCAAGTAAATTAGAACATTGAGGTGTTTTCTGGACAACAGCTTCTGTTTGGCAATTTTATTAGTACAGTTAACAGTATCTGGTTTATGTCCATATTTGGATTTAATTTGGATATCAGAGCTGTCATCAACCACTAACATCTTTGCCAAGAGCTCCG